GGGCTCTGCAGCTGCCGCAGAGGGGCTGCGCCGCGGGGCCGGCGGCAGCGGCCGACGTGCTCCTCGCAGCTGCCTCCTGCCCGAGTGCTGCTGCGCAGTGAGGTCAGAGTGCCCAGAGGAACCATCAGCATCTCCTTAATGCCAGTCTCCATTAAAGCACTACGCATTAATTTAAGGAAGAGAGAATCTAATTCAAGAGAGTTTGGAGGGAGTTTCTCCCCCACAAATTATCATTTAAATAGATCTGTTCAGTGAGCCCAGTTCAGGAGAGGAAAAGCAAACCGGGAGCCTTTTGTTGTCTAAATTGTTTTTGTCACTTGAGTCAGAGCATTTGAAGTGCTTTGATTTCTTTAAGAGCTTTCCTTGCAGAGGGAAACAAGCTTTTAACTTTTGTTCATCTTTTTCCCCCTTACGTTCACTTGCTTCTTGGAGTCCCCCTTCTCTCTGGGCGGGGGCTCCTTGGCAGGTGCCACACCAGGGCTGCGTGCTGGATGTGGGCTCCAAGGTCACGTCCCGCCGGGAGCGGCCGCTGCACCGGAGCTCACACCAGAACACACTCTGCCTCTAAGCTGCAACCGCTTCGCCTCTCGGCTCTTAGACCTTTCTTGTGGTTATCAAAGCTGTTTGTGATCTGAAGGGGCTCCCCCTCCCTCCCCAGCAGGCGTTGTCTGTAGGGTCCAGATGTCCGCGGCCCTGGTGACAGACGCCGGGGCACGGTGCTGTGCCTGGGCCGCGGAGCAGCTCGGACCTGGGTCCGCAGGGCTCGGCCACGCGCCAGCTCCACCAAACAACACGGGCAGGACGTGGGTGCACCCCAGCCAGGGAGGGGGGGCAGCTGCATCCCGGCTAGGGGGCTGTGCTGTGGGCAGTGAGAGGACCCCAGCCCCCTGGTTTGGAAGGATAATTCCTGCGTACACCCAGCTAGACAGTAAAGCATCACCGCTGGTGACAGAAAAGCCACCCCAGGACCTGCACATAGGCCAGATCCTGCTGGCGCTGCTGTGCGGCCCAGGCAGGCCTGTGACACCTCCAGGTACCCAGGGTGTCCCCACCCCGCACAGTGTCCTGCAAGAAACCAGCATGAGCTCCCGCAGCAGGGCCACTTTTGTACAGAAACCTTGGTTCGGGAGGCAGCTCGGGAGGAGGCCGGCGGGATGATGCTGGAGGAGAGCGCTCTCTGCCCTGCACCTTCCCTGCCTGCTGACTCCCCACGGGGTAAATTGAGCAGCGTGTTGAGCAACCCCCTTGGGCAGCTTCTCCAGCTGTGCTGGCTAGTGCAACTCCTTATCTGTTCATGTTGGATAAAAATCAATTATATCATTGATAGGTAACTGATAAGGTCTCCCAAGGCCTGACGCATCCTGGGCTTGTCATTGGGTTTGTCCTTTTAGTTTAGCCACAGTGTTTTCTCTCCTTGGAGAAGGTTTAATGTAAATGTACATGTGTGTTCATTTTTTACTGTGTGTTGCTTCCCGGCTGCTGGTGTTGGTCCTTCAGCTGCAGTGTGAGACCTGACAGTGGAGAGGGGCAGGATGTGTCTTTGCCACGGCTCCTGCCTTCAGCGGCTCCTGCCCACTGCCACTGTGTCAGCTCACACGGGAGCAGCACATGGCTGCCACGCTGGGGCCGGGAGCTGCTCGATTCTCAGGGTGTCCCTGGCCCCCCCCAAATAGGCGGCTGCTGGTTCACTGTGATGATGATGGGGAGGCAGCGGAGGGGCCAACAGGCACTGGCCCTCGAGTGCCGGCTCCGGCCACGCCGCCTCAGGCAGGCGCTGCCCTGCACGCCAGAGCTGGAGAACAGAGAAGGCCCTCTCTTTCCTCAGGAACGTGTTCGTGTTTTCCCTCCGAGCTGAAGAGCTGTGCCCAAGCCCCTCTGGAGCTGGCCCTTCCTCTAGCAGAAGTGTTGTGCAATAGCAGGGCTCTCTCCGTGGGAGATGGGGTCTGACAGGGTATGTGTTTAGCAAACCCTCCCACCAGGCTGCTCCCCACCCCTGACCAGCCACTCCTCTCCGGCACGCATGTGCGCACGCTTGCATTTTAATTTCTACCCCACGTGTAAATACGGGAGGAGCACGGTGCCGGGCGAGCCGGCCGAGCTGCCCCATGCTCCCTGCCCACCCACACCCACAGGAGCTGGCAGCTGCCACAGTGTCTGATGGAGTCACTTTGGTTTTCTTTCTCTACCCAAATGAAATTAGGAGGTTGATTTCCTCACCCTTGTTATTTTTTCAAGGTCTTTCTAGGACCTGGAAATAAATTATTTCCTTGTCGTCTAGCCTGAATCTTACTTGCTTATCTTTTCTTGTTTCATTTCCTCACATTGCCTGTCACCGCGGTCCCATCGGTGCCTTCCCAGAGGGACCGGGCTGGCTGGGGTGCAGAAGGATGGGCCAAGGCACAGCCTGCCAGCGTGTTCCCTGCTGAGAGCTGGCGGCCAAACCACCTGTCCCCCGCAGCACCCTCCCCCGGGCAGGACGCCGCTTCTCTGGCTTCTTCCCATTGCTCATTAAAGGCTTATCAGAAAAAGCTTCTTCAAGAGAAGGGACAATTTTTCTGTCTGAACTTGAAGGAAATGATGAAAAAAATGCCCTTGGCTTTCTCCGTCTCTTCTGCAGGAGAAGGTTGGGTTGTGCTTTGGGTGGCCCGAGGCGTGGGGTACGTGTCTGCCGCGCCTGCTCGCAGCCAGCGCCCCCGGCACCGGGGTCTGGGCTGAGCCACCACAGCCAGCCACGGGCTCCTTGGCGCAGTCCCTGTGGCGCTGCCCGTGGGAGGGGGCAGCTCATCCTGCAAGGGGGTTGATGGTCCTTCGTCCTGCAGAACGGGCAGAGGCAAAGTGCACACCGAGCAACAAAGTCTGGTGATGTGTCCACATGGTCTCCCTCAACCGACAGAGTTCCTCCATGTTCCTTGAAAAGTGCATCTTGGGTGTTCTCCTGAGTCACAGGTGACCTCCCACAGGCACGGATCCTGCTCAGGTACCGGGTCACTGCAGCTGGGCACTGGCAAGGGGTTTGCTACCATGACCCGTTCTCAGGGTGGTAATGGGGTGTACAGCAGCATTTAGTCACTGCCTGCAAAAAAAAAAATCTCCTTCCAGCTCAGTTTTAATACCGAAACAATTAAAATAAAGGACACTCCAGGCTGATCACAGATAAATCAATCGCTAGTGGTTTTCTTGATGGCCAGGGACCAAGGAACGATAAACACGGTAACAGCAAACAAGCAGGACCCTCCCTGGGCCCAGGGAGCCTGCCAAGGCGTGCAGCTGCGAGTACCCTCATGGCGGGGGGGCACGTGCTGAACTCTGTGGTGCATCGGTGTAGGTCAGCAGATAGCAGGGGCAGAATTCAAACCCCTCCAAAAAAGCAACAGTCATTTCAACAGCATCTTGCAGTCCTCACTCCAAAACAGGCTTATTGATCCCTGAGGACTGCAAGCGTGTCCGTGTCCTTCACCATTCCTGTGCCTCCACTCCCATCCTGCTCCCTTGATTATTCACTAAATGTTATGGAAGAAGCATCTGGTGACCTTTGACGACAGCAGTTAGTGGGATGCTGTAACAGAAGGGAACAGCCTTGAGGCCAGAGGGGTTTCCGGATGCACAAGGTGTGCTGCCAAACCTCAACGTACGCACCAATTGCCTCTCTAGCTGCCAGCCGTGAGCGGCCCTTTTTGCGAGCATCATCACTAATTGCCCCCACACAGTGAGAGTGTCAGCACTGCCCAGCTGCTGTTTGCGGAGCTACTGATGGTTGCTGTGTGTCTGCACCCCGGGTTCTCCGCCCAGGTCCGCAGCAACAAGAGCTCTGGCGCTCCAGCCGCAGCCAGCAGAGACGTGCTCTCTCCGAATCCTGCTGCCCAGGTTCAGGCACCCGAAGTAGCTGCCCGGTTATCCTGGGACTCGGGATCGGGTGGGCTGGGATGTCCCAGGAACTCCCCGCAGCCGGGGCGCTCCCAGCAAAGGAGTTACAAGTGCCAAGCACCGAGTGTGAGGAGCCTGGGCCATGCAGAAGGATTTGCTGCTTGGAATCGTGGAGGAATGGAGAGCTCAGAACAAATAAATTGCAGCCAGAACCAGACCCTTAACTACAAAAGAGGAGGATTCTTGAGGGCTCTGATTGCAGAAGCATCTGTGAAGATGCTTTAAGAGCTCCATGCCCCTTCAACACAGCCTCTTTGAAGAAATTTTTCTATAGCAACTTCTCTCCAGCAGTTGCGTAGCAGCCTCTGGCTCCTTGCAGAGCTGGGCAGGGGCAGCCTGCAGGAGAGGGAGCCCGTCCTGCTGTGCCCACTGGTTGCGGTGGCAGATCCAGGGGCTGAGCTGGCCGGATGGGCAGACCCAGGGGCTGTGGTGTGAAGATGCTCCTTCCAGGTCAGTTTTGTCATGTCAGAGGCAGCCCTGGGGGTGTGGAGCACGCAGCACCATGGGGCAGTGGGGGCACAGGACAGGCAGTCGCTGGGCAGAGCGAGGTCCCGCAGGGGCAAAGCAGCTGCGTGCTCGGAGGTGACGGCGGCGGCAGAACCCACTGTGCTCTGCCCTGTGAGCTGACACCTGCAGCTTCGGGTGTTTCTTTCCCTGAAGGAAGGCTGCTGCAGCCGGCTGCTCTGCAGGAGCAGGGCATGGCAGCTCTCTGGTGCTGCTTTGTCTGGTATTTTTGACAAGGACCAGCTGCTCCCCGGTGTCCTGGCTCCCGTGTTGCTCCACGTCCTTCCTCAGGGCTCCCGGCATCCGCACACAAGTCATCCCCTCGGCACCCGCTCCGGGGCTGAGGCACGACCCTCGCCTCACGGGGTGCAGCCTGCGGCTCTCTGCTGGCGGAGGACATTTCCCACCGTCACATTTTGAACAAGTCCCGTGAGGTTGGTGTCCTTGTGCTACGACGGCAGCCAGCGGCTGCAGCTCTGCTCCCAGCCCCAGCACAGCCACTGCAGCGGCCACTCGAGCGCCTTCGCCCTGAGCCACGGCGAGCTCCAGATGGCGAGATGTCCAGGCCTCCTCCAGAGAGCTACTGAGGAAAGATGGATGTGATCTGCTGGGATCATTAAGGGGAAATTAAAAAAGGGCAGTGATATCTGCACCCCCAAGAGGGAAATAGATCTCTGGTAACCGAGTGCAGGCAAGGCTGTGTAAGCCTCCACCTCCCACTTGCATTGGTAACATGCTGCTCAGCAGGGTGATCACTGTCGTCGTCCCCCCCCCCCCCCCCCC